CACACAGGACTGAAACTGAAAAATGCATCATGGGAGCTGGTGAAATACATGAGGTCAGTTCTGGTTTGCTTCTGCAGCAAAAAGTGCTCCAGGTGGGCTGCATCTTTTGACAACAGGGACTTCATCTAATGTAGCATTCACACTGAGAGATAGCTTCCTTTAGAACTGCTGACAATAACTGACAAGTGGTACAGAGGTAGCTATTTCGAGGATCCCCTGAGGACCGAATGATATCCTCACTTCCGTCTTGCCACCAAAAGTCCAGTCTGCAGTGGGTAAAATGGATTCCCTCTGGGTAGCTACTTCCTCTGTCATCTGTCACCACTTCCTGTCTGTGAAGAGCAGGTAATGACAGCACGCAGGTGTTGCTAGCTGGGTGGTATCACTGCAAGGCATCAGCAGCACAAAACATGATATTTTCCCCAGAAACTTTAACATTGTTTGGTTCAGTCGATTTAATTTTAAATGTTAGTATTCAATTAATTTTCATGTTTTTTTGTTGTTTTTTTACAGTATGTCTCCAGCCTTTTTACTACTGCAGCAATCACCCTAGTGAGTTTTAGTGTGCGCCAACAGGTCAAATGCACCATTATCATGTGCAAGACTTAAAGTGGTTCCTGAACCGAGCTAAAATGATTACATATTGGCTGTTACTCAGATATTTGTTCTGCTGCACTGCACATAGAAATTGATGTTCCATGAACCCTGGATATTGTTCTCATAAGGTCATGGTTTGGAATTTCATGTAGGTGATGGATGGCTGCAGATTTTGAGTTTATGAGTAAGACTTTCACTCTTTTGAGATTATCAGAGACTAGAGTTTTTTTACATTTCTGAATTTTATCACAGATGCTTGGTTTCAAGTGAGTCAGAATGACCCATAATTTGTTTGAAACATCAGCATGGCTGATGTGAACTTTCTTTTCTGGCCTCTCATCAGTGTGTTAAACCACTGCCATGGTTTGTTATGACAAAGGTCACGGATAACGGATGATCTGCCTACAGTTCCCTAATGTGAGAACAAAGACTATATTCCAGCAATAGAGTGAGCAGGGGATAAGTTACATTGTTTTGGGGATAGGTTTTCCAGACAGAGGGATGTGAAGACAGGCTCTGGGATTGGATTTACTGGGACTCGTTCTAGTCCGTTAATCCTTGTATCTCTTTGACTCTTTCAGCAGGTTCCTCTACTGGCAAGCCAAGAGTTCTAAAGCGGCTGCCCTTCCTGTGCTCACCAATAATTCTAGGTCCGGGTATCCACACCAGCTTGTTTCCACTGCTTGAACAGGGGGAAAGATTCGAGGTTGACATGATAAAAGAAAATTATATGTACGACAAAAACAACTAATTGCCTGGTGGGGAAACTTTAACTGTGACAGATGTTTATATGTTTTAGCATTCAGTTTTGAATATTCTCTGCAGAGTAACAGAAATATAATAAGCAAATCGGAATCTTTATCTGAATTAATCTAAAACAGAAATAAAATAAAAAGAACAAAGCTAAGTCTGGAGTATGACAAGTGGTGTAGTAAGAGGTGTCTAATTTTTCACATGCTCTCAACAACCGAGCAGTTTGCGCTCTTGTTCTGTATAAAATAATCCATATGGCTGCTTGTCCAGAGCAGGGATCCCATGCAGTTACCGGCCCATACGTTAGGCTTTTTATGGACATGATGAAACCGAATCAGGTCACGCCAATTGATAGACATTCTCCTCAGCTATCATTTGTACACACAATCCTTTTAAAGTGCATTGAAGAGAGGTGCCCACCCCCTCCTTACAGACATATAGTGGCTTCCCCAGAAGCTGTCATCATATTGTTCTCTTAAATATTTAACTTCCTCAAAAGATTGAGCTGTAATATAAGAAATGATCCCTATAATGCCTACTGACTGCTACAAACAGATGTGAAATTTCAGGGTAATCCCAGACTGTACTCAGCCCCCCTATTGCCAAGATATCATGTTCTTCACTGGGGTCACACAGTCTCCCTTTTCATATTATCCCTCAGATTTGTCTGTAAGGTAGTGTTATATAGGCTGCGGAGAATTATTAGCCTCTGGAAACAACTAATTGTCTTACAAAGCACATACTCTACATGATCAGAAGTAAGTCTACCGCACATGGAACAGCACATTTTTAAAAGAAGATTTTCAGGTTATGGAGGGTTGGAAGTTGTTGGTTGTTGTTCTAGTTGCTTGTTCATCAGTTGAGGAGATCTCACATAACAGCTAATGGAAGTTAAGTTTCTCACTTAGCTGAGTGTAACTTTATCCAGCAGTGATTCATCATTCCAGCTCATGTCACTCACTGGCTGACGATGTGGACAAGTCTCCAGGTCCCAAGCTGCAGACGACTCCTCTTTGTGTCTTTCCAATTGCGATATATAAACTGTGATATCCTTAATTGGAAATACACCCTAATTTAAACAGAGCACCAGCCCTATTTGTGTTTTTTTATACATTCTCTGCATTAGATAGATTTGTTCTCTATCAGTAAAAATCACTGCAGGTAAAACAGATGAAATCACACACATCAGGAAATGCCCATCCCTGCTCTTCATAGTTGGCATTGGATGACTTGCTGGTGTATCTACTCCCATCAAGAGAAGGGGGATTAAAATGATCCAGTTCTGAAACACCAGCTCCTACAATTATGAGCCAACCTTGCCTTGGAGGGATGACCCTTTGAGGCGGAAACCCATCATTATGGGTTTAGCCCACTATGCATGTGTGGGGACAGGCGGCCACCCTTATGCTAAGGTATTCTACTGCGCCTGGGCCTTCAGGCCTGGAGCCAGGGGCCCTCAAGCAGGTAGAGAAGAGACATGGTGGCCTGACTGGTGTGAGCTGGGTAAATGTGCCCTTCAGGCACAGGGCACTGGAGCGTTACGTTTCTGAGAACTGAGAGGGCTGATTCGAACTTGGAAAGCAAGTGGATGTTTGCTTTGCACACAGGCTTGGAGTTGTACCTTAATGCCAGTGATGGAGGAAGTATTTGACTTATCTATTACTTAAGTTAACGTAGCAATACAACAATTTAGAAATACTGTAAAAGCATTTGAATGTAAAAGTGCTTAAAAGTATAAGCATCAAAATACACTTAAAGTTCCAAAGGTAAAAGTACTCATTATGCAGAATGGCCCACATCAGAACAAAATATATTATATTATTGGATTGTAATTATTGTTGCATTATTATGTGAGAATCACTCATTTTACGGCTGGTAAAGGAGCTAATTTTAACTACTTTATAGGCTGATGGGTAGCTTAATCTATAATAATACACCATAACGTATTAGTTGATTATATTTTGTATTAGTAATCTGAAGTAACTAGTGACTAAAGCTTTAAAAATAAATGTTATATATTTTATATATATAATATTTAGCTCCCATAAGAAGAAAAAATACTCAACTAAAGTACCTGGAAAATGTATTTAAGTAAATGTATTTAGTTACTGCCTGATTTTAATCATTTAAAAAAATCTACATTAATACTGAATTATTGTATGCTGACAATTACACATTGAGTGGTATCATAGTTAAGACTTGATGGACAAGAAATGACAGTAATAAGAACTAAAAGGCCTCTAAATATGAAAGGCTTTACTCTCCATTCATTGGACGTGATGAGGATTTCAACAGAAAACTTGTTACTGTGAGAACCTCCTCCTGTATGACAAAAATCCTCTTTGTCTGATCCGTGGCAATGCTTCACAGATAATAGAGCAAAATGTGGCCTAAGGGAGATAATTTGTTCCCAGATCTTCAGATCGTAATATTTTCATTTGAGCCCAGGAGGGGATCTCTTGAATTGCCAGCTTCCATTGTGTTCCAACAAGGGGCATGAAAGTCTTGTCAATTAATTTTTCTTTTATTCCAGACCACAGAGCGCCTGAGTGATTTCAATTATCAACCAATTAAGAGGTGCAATTAAGAGGTGTTTCCTTTTATTTACAGACTTTGATTCCGTGCATATCCATATTGTTTGAAAATAAGACAGGAGCGGGGTGTTAAATCCCTTGGACATTTCCTCTACATGGGCTGCTTAATATGTTCTCCCTTTCTGCTGTGTCCCCTGGGTCACAAGCACAACAAAAGATCATTACATGCTGTTGAACTCTCTGGCTGAACAATTCAGCGGATGCTTTTCCACAGTGGTTCCCTATTCAAAAACAACAAAACAAAACAAATCCCATTAACAGGATTCACACAGACACACACGAAACTGACAGTGTTTTGCGTGACAAGACTTTGGGAATAGATGGAGACAGGTGGAATATTCAGCAAACAGGTTAACATCAAACAGGCACAGTCTGAGTTAAATCCAGCCCAGACAAAAAGCTGAACTTCTGAACCATGTGGAAGTAAGTTAAAGGTCTGATTGCATGTTGAAATCGGGCTATTGGAAGTGACAAGCGGAAAATGTCTCTGTCTTACACACTTTACTGCTTACAGCCACTTGACTTCAGATTTCTTGACAGGCTCTAAAGCATTTATACTGGTTTATTTACCACGTTCTTAGAATACCAAAAAGGCCTCAATCTGAATATTTGTCAGGCATTGGGGCTTTATTGAGGCTCTGTGAGAGACAGAAGGCATAGCATGGTTTCTCATATTTGAAACAGCCGATTTCACTTAGAAATCTACAAAGAAATGGGGTTTAGATGGTGCTGTTGTGCTTAGTTACAATTTCATTCATTAATGGTACATTTAATGTATAACAGAATAAAGTAAACAATAGAACCACTATTGAGGGACCTTATTAAACATTCTGTTCACCTCAATAGAAATGTTATAAGAACATGAAAGTGTTATGACATTACTTTCATGACCAAGACCAATAGGAGATACATAACATATGTCTTAAAACAATTTAAATTAGAAGTCAGTAGCTTATGCATTACACAGTCTACTGAGCGGCCTTGATGGTTAGTTCAACATTAATCCAACATTTATGAAGATGGAAGAGGGGGAATGACACACAAGCCTCACAGTCATGAAGTTAAAATAAAAGACTTTTATTCAAACATCGACATGAGTTTAAATAAAACACAAAACACAATTTAGTCTAAAACACATGTAATGTATCTTCTTATGAAAATAATTTCTGTACATAGGTCTCCTTCTTTAAGACAGGAATTGGCCCAACCAAGCAGCTACAATAAAAAATAAAGTAGGCTACAAATTCATCAGTTCAGATGTCCATAGGCTGATTTGTGAGTTGTATCATTTTCTACAAATAAACTGCTTGCAATGTTTGTTGCACTAGTGTGAACAAACCATAATGCAGAAGTGACAGTTTATAACCATGAATATTCCTTTCTGATGACACTGAAATATATTGGCCCAGTTAAAAAAAAAACCCTACCAGTTCAGTTCCAGTGCTAGTTTTACAATGAGGCTTACTTAACCAGAACATGAGTAATAAGTACATAGCCTAAAAACAGTAGGCTAAAGAAATGTGAAGGCTAATGAGTAATAAATGACTTTTTCTGTAAGCAGCCCAACATTGACAAAGACAGTCTACACTTCTGTTCCTTCCCGGCTGTATATGAGGTTATTAACACTAAAATGATTGGAGAGGCTCTGAACTGATGTGTAATAGTTCATTCTGTTGTTGTCAGAGTTCACAGAAGAGATTAAAGTGGGCGAGTAGGAGCCCAGTCCGGACATGCCCTCTCTGGTCTGAGACAATCCCCCGAGATGCGCCGATGAGCCGTAGTCCCGCTCCCCGGGCCGGGAGCCGTCTGTGCTGCCGCTGCCCGCCAGTAGCGAGTTCACGCTGGACACGAAGGTGCCGAAACACGGGCTGTGCTCCGCGGACGGAGACGGGGACGACTTGGGCTCCGTGGAGGCCGGGGATCCGTGCAGGCTGGGCGGGGAGGAGCTCATAAGGCTGGATGTGTCGGAGAGCTTATGCGGGCCGTCTTCTGACTTGACCGGGAGAGCGGTGCTCTCAGCTCCGGTACTGTCAGCCCTCCTCTTTCTCTTCCGTCTGAAGTTCCCGTTGTCGAACATCTTCTCACAGTTGGGGTCGAGCGTCCAGTAGTTTCCTTTACCTAAATAAGAAACAAAAACAAGGGTTAAATATGGATGACAAACTTTTAGCTCAACCTTTCCCTGAACACGACATTTAAAAAAAAATCATCTTTAAAATCTAATCAAACAGAACATGAGCGGGAATGATCCCACTTGTTTCAGCTTTATTTAGTTTTATCAATAAAAAGCAGCATCAACATGATTCAAGCCGTGAAGCAGATTCAATAAAAATATTTAACATAAAACTTAATTTAACTAAGTTAATTAACTTAATTTGGGGGAAATATTCCAGACTCACCGGGGTCATCCTCGTCCCTTGCCACTTTTTTGAAACAGTCGTTCAGTGATAAATTGTGGCGGATTGAATTCTGCCATCCAGCTTTACTCTTCTTGTAGAAAGGGAAGTTGTCGGCTACATACTGATAGATCTGACTGAGAGTCAACTTTTTGTCTTGGGCGTTCTGTATGGCCATCGCTATCAGTGCTGAGTAAGAGTAAGGTGGTCTGACCATCTTGAAGAGTTCCTGCTGGCTGGATATGGACAGCCAGCCCAGGTCTGCCCCGCCAAACCCGGTCGGAGGCGGTAAGAACTGCCTCTGGTTCGACCCGTATCCAGACTGAATATAGGACGTGCCGTTGTTTCCGGGAAGATAAGGAGAGGAGTTGATGCTGGGTCCGTTCAGCCATAGGTACGGGTTCGTGGACGGTGAGGTGTACTCTCCGAGGCCGTAGCCGGAGGGGTGCGTCGGCGGCCTCTGAGGGTGATGGTGGTGGAGGTTCTGTTGGTACACACCGTAATTGTCGCAGTACACGGCCATGTCTAGGATCTCCTGCGCGCTATGGTGCTGAATAGGGCTGGTCTGCTGGTTAGATGGTTGGTGTCCAAAAGCGTTCATAATCCGCCCTAACCAGATTCCCCAAACCTAAATTCGTTTGTGTGTCTCTCCTTCAGGACTGAACTCATCCCCAGAGGGAGGAGTATTTATGCGTAGCGCTCGGAGACTCTACAGGTAGCCCATTGAAGAAAACTTTTGGGATGGTCACACCCCTCTTTTCTGTCCTACTACAGCCCAATTGTATTGACCCAATCTCCATATGAGCACCGATACTGCATTTATCTGCAATGTTGAGATTAAGGCACGTTAGTGATTTATAGCTTAACTATAGACCGTGCGTAATTACGCACAATGAAAGCCCGTGTGTGTATGTAAAAAGCCACCTTTTCTTAAAAGAAATTCGTTTGCAATAAACACATCACATCACATCACATCAAGTGCCGCCGGTTTAATGTCAACAAGTGACTCGTGGAAAAAACACCCCCAGCAGGCTTCCAGTGAAAACAGGCTATATTATATCAACCCTGTAATAAAACAGGGTCTAATATGTTATGACGTCATTCTATTACATTAACCTTAAACTTTTATTGCTTAATAACTGTGAAATGGTCTAAGATTAAAATAATGTGGAAGAATAAGATAATTGAAAGTACAGCAACGTTAGAGTTAAAATGTATAAGTCTGTATTTCTTATAGGACTACAGTAAAGATATGGAGCTCCTACTAAAGGAATTAAGACTTTGCTCCAACATAAATTGCATTAATTTGGTCAAAGGTAGTCTACAATGCCAGCCCTGGAGTTTTCTAGAGCCGATCTCTGGTTGGCAAATGATCCGAGTTTCGATTGAGCGGAAAGTGGAAAAGACGATAATAGCTCACCGATACTTCAGTCGTCCTATCAGGTTTGTTTAAGGCTCATTACAATTGAACACAACCACCACCGCCACAGACTAATATTCCAGAGATTTTCTGCATCTGTAAGGTATAGGCCTAAAGCTCTTTCTGTGGCGTGTTTAGGAAATTAAAATGTAGGCTACAAGTGAAGCCAACAAGTCAGATTTTGATTTGAATGTAGATCGCTTCTGCCGCTCAGGTCTGTTGCCATCCCGGTTGAAGGGGGCTGTGCAGGCTGCTGCTGGACTAATCGGCAGAACATTCCTCCTCTCCATGACCTTGATGTAATTGTTTGGCTCCAAGGTGTTGTCCCGACCACAGGCTGTACATAAGCGGCAAGCTGTGGACTCCACTGGGGGGAAGTGGCATTTAACCCCCAGATGAAAACAACACAACCTGTCAGGTGTCGGACACCCAGTTCAGCAAATTACTGCTGACTGCTGGCTGGACAACTGAATCTGAAACAATTTAACTCAGCCTGACACAATCTATTAGGCTATATTATTTAGGCAAATAATAATTCGTTTTTTAAAGTGCTATACTGATTTTTATGGTTATAATTCTATCACTGTAAGTGCTTGTGTATTGGGATTGATTACAAATAAGCAGACATCAGACCAGACATTTGGAGCATGTTGTATTGAAGGCGCCATTAATCACAGTTCTCCTATCTTTTTTCCTCTCAGATTTTCAGAGATGTCAAATGTGGCTCGACATGGCAACCTCAAGCCCCCGTGTCATTGTAAAGTAATAATTCAAACATGCTGACTGTGTGTTTGGGAGTGGTGTCTATTGTTGCGCTGCCATGTCTGTCTTCATCCCCTGTTTCCTCAAGCTTTTTGAGGTCATGGGAGCTTTTCTCTGGGAGATCAAGTCAATCACGGCAAGGTCAAAGAGGCAGGGCAAAGTTACCGCAGGCCCATTCAGGCTGATAGCTGAGAAAACCACTGCTGCGGGTGACGGGTATAACCCATACTGCTACTTCTCCATTCATGTATCAGCACATTTTACTTCTGGGATTACAGCTAAATACTAGCTGGAATCAACAAAGACCCTCGGGGTTAATAAGGCTTGTATTGTGCAAACATTGGATGTGGCACTATGATTTACACAACTGTTTATTGCTTTGAAGTAATTTTCCGGACTATTAGACGCACTTAAGCCAATAAAATCATAAGAGATAATGTCATTAATTCTGACTGTGTAAACAAAATCATCCCGTAGTATAGCCAGGGGCTTGTCTTTCTCAGAGTCTCCCCCCAGTGGAAGAACAAAGCCAAACAGACAACACAGTTTAGGTGTTAATTAATGTTCAGCCTGGGTGCAGAGTGATGTGTGTGAAAATAAAAGCTGGTCTTGCGGAATACTTTGCAGTTAATTCCTCAGGAGCTCTGACTGTGCAGGAGATTAAAGACATTTGAAGTGCTGTGATGTGAAACTTGGCAGGCAGAGGAACTGTCTGGCCTGGGAGCATCCTTTCTACACTCGATGGTCTTTATTCTTCAAGATGGCAAAGACATAGCCACCGCAAGAAGCATTTATAATAGGATCTCTAGCTGAGCTCTGCACTTTTTCTCAACCCGTTTCAAGAGTTTAAATATATGAATAATGGGCATTTTTTAAAGAACAATCTCCTTACCACTCTTATTAAATGTTTCAAAATCCACTTATACGGATGTTAACTTATATGGATGTTAAGAAAATATTTTAAACCCACATATAGCCGTTGCATAATGCTAGGCCTCTATAAAGAACTTAACCCAACAATTTACTTTTTAACAGGCAATAGTGTATGTAATAAGTGTGATAATCAAAGGATATATAGATCTTACGTTAAACATCATCTCCAAAAATGTTTAAAGATATATAAAATACATTCTGCTTGGAATAATTTATATCCAATACGATTTTTCAACAGAAAAACTCAAATTACCTAGCTAAAAATTCTGAAAATTACACGTTTCATATTTATGAAAATATCTTTCATTTCAAAAGTTTGACAACTATGCAAGATGACTTCTTTTTTCTGGTGTATGTGCACTGAAGGCTTCGTGTTCCCACAATACACTTGTGTGTGATGCACATTGGATCATGATTGACTTCCAAACTAGTTGTGATGTTGCAATATCATCTGGTGCACACAAGCCTTCAACTCTGATTTAAGGTCTGCACAGAGAAAGTTTCCCTTTCAGCAGAAACAAACTCTGCACACGCATCTTTCTGCACAGCGAAGTCAACTCAAATTTCAAATATCGTTAGCCCATAAATATCTCAAGGTATCTGTCTACCTGCAAGGCCCAAGGAGGAGAATATGTTTCTTAGCAATTAGACATTCCTTTCTGTGTGGTCCCATCTGGCCAATTACTGTTTAACCCTGACAGTCCATGAGATATGGAGGCAGCCCTGCAGACAGCATGCTGTCTGAGGAAAAAATACAACCAGCCTGGACTTCTGCTTCACTGCTGCTAGTTACATTATCTTAATTCTCTCCTTCACTGGGCAGATTTACACCTCTGCTTCTGATTACATCCTCGGAAAGATCAGATGTTACTGGTCTGTTAGAGGCATACTCTGCTGGCCTCACCATCAGCCGCAGAGCGATTAAATATACTCTTTCTGTTGTTTCCTTTTGTGGTCTTTAAGATACAGCAACTTGGCATAATGAGAGTCATGAAATGAGATTTTGTAAGCAGGGATATTTCAACTCTAAAATTCTATCAACCATTAAATAACTGCTCCTTCAGTTCACTGGTGCAAAGACACTGTGGACCTTAAAATGATTATATACACAAGCCAAAGGTTTATGTCACTTTGGTAATTACTCATCCAGGAAGTGAGATGGGGCAGGCAGGATGCATTGTCAGCATTATCCAGACGAGGGCAGCATTGCTTTAGAGAAGATGCCTTGAGCATTCCTCAATAAACCAAAATCTTTACACCACCCATCTATCAACCATGCTGTGCAGCTCTCTGAGAGGTAAAATATATCAGTATTGATAGAGTAATTTTAATCACACAGAATTTAAGAAATATAGGCTTTTGAATTTAAAATGAAAGTGATGAAATATGTTCCTCTGTCTGGAGGTTTTCACAGGTTTTCTTGTCTTCACAGCCTTTATAATAATAATTGTGCTCATTGTTTACCTTGATGCTTTAGAAATATGTATCATATAACAATAATAATAAATATATTTTGCTCTGAAAACAAAATCCACACATTGATGTTAATCACATTTTGCCATTTAATAGTCAAAACTGTAATGAAAACAGTCCCTTGTTCTCAGAAGAGTCTTGAGTTAAGAGTTTACCATCATATTGGTGGGCATGAAAAAACAAATGTGATGCTTCCACAAGAAATACTTCTGAAGCAGTTAAAGAATATAGGCATGAGATCAAAAAGATCAAATTACAAAGATTTAATTAACCTGCTCAAAACCATATTCTGCTATTGGGATAGCATGCCTGTGGCACTTCTTAGTTATTTCCATGTGAAGCTGAACTGGGAACTCTCCCTCCTCATCAAACCAGTTCTCCACCCCCGATCTCTAGGTATGTTTCCTAGCAACACGTCTCACCGGCTGCCTGGGAAAACCCACTGCCTCATAATAGCCTCAGCTAATATAGATCACCACCACTTGGCTCTCTCCTTCAAACCAAGATAATAAGCCTGTGTACAGAATGTAAATTTTGTATTTAGTGCTGAATGCAGCAAACGAAAAAAAAAAAGACGCGCACTAACAGGCTTAGATTTAAAATGGCAGTAATAACAGTTATAGTCCAGTGTCGACTAGTCTCTGTGCTTCTAAGAGACGCTTGTGACAACCACTCTGGATAAGAGAGTGATGGAGTATCTGTCTGGAGTGTGTAAAGTTGGTGGCAGAAAAGAAAAACAGCATTTAAGTCTTCAATCAACGGCTTGGCTCACAGCCACCAGTGCAGGTATTTACTATACAGATTTGAAAAGTGCTCAAAGAACAGTGTGCCATGAGCAAAATTTCACACTTTAACTGTATAAAGACATTTGAAACTTCACGAACAGTAACTCATAATCAGTTTCTATCAGTAATTGCTGCAGCCCATTTAGAGTAGGCTGCAATTAAGGATTATTTTCTCCAGAAAACAGTAACATTTCTGAGAGCTCATGGTGATGTCATCAAATGCAAGGCTGGATCACCAATGGGAAAAGTGAGCAACTATCCTGGGGCCATTGTGCTAACCTTGGCCCTGGTCTTGATGAGGGGCCCTGTTTTAGTTTTACAGCCATTCATATTTTAGTTTGTATTGTGCTGAAGTGTATATATTTCTAAAATATTTGCCTGTTAATTTGTAATCTGTTATTCAACTAACCAATCCAACTAATAATTTAACCTCTAGATTTCTGCTGGATGTTCAGTGGGGTCCAACAACACATTTTTGT